GGCCCAGGGCGCGATCTTGGAGACCCGGGATCGAATCCCATATCGGGCTCCTGGTGCATGGAGCCTGCTTCTCCCTCTGCCTGTGTCTCTGCCTCTCTCTCTCTCTCTCTCTCTCTCTCTCTCTCTGTGACTATCATAAATAAATAAATTTAAAAAAAATTTAAAAGAAGTGGTTTTTGTTGAAGTGTAATTGGTATTTAACATATTAGTTTTAGGTATAATGATTTCAGTATTTATATTGCAAAATGATCACCACAATAAGTCTGGTTAGTGGTATCTGTCAACATACATACAGTTTTTTGTTGTTTTTTTTTTTTTTCTCTTGTAATGAAAACTTCTAAGATCTACTTTTATCAGTTCATTAGCTCCCATCATCCTTGAAGCCCACTGGCCACTCATCTCTTGCTTTTGTGCCTTGACTCTGCCTATGGAGAAAATATTTGGACATGAGTGGCATTAGGACTCTAGATCCAGTCATCTCTTTCTTAAGTTATACCTCTAGTTCTTTCCTGTGTTGAATGTCCCCATACTTGTTTCCCAAGAATAAATGGTTCCTTAAAGGCTGTCATGAGTCAAAAGTGGAATTGGCAGCAGCAGATATTAGATAAAGCTATCTGGGTGTCTGCCACCTGCTTCTCCTCCCCACCCCCACCCCCATTACTTATGTAGGTATGGTTGTCTTGTAGAAAGCCAAACTGTTGAGTACCAGTTTAAAGAGGAAATCTAAGCACATCTAGCAAGGTAGTGGTGTTAGTTGGCAGTAGGTACTCAGTTCCCTGCCATGTGAAATGCTCTATAGGACTGCTTGAGTATCCTTCCAGCGTGGCAGTTGACTTAGTGTTTAACTTGATTCTGTCTGTGTTGAAGACTACATCTGATCTCTCTTTCACCATCCTGGGCTTTGTGCTTTGTGCTTTCTTTGTCACTTTTCTTTGTCACTCCCCTTGTCACTTGCCTCCCTAAGATCCCACTGAAAAGTAATTGATGTGTCTTGTACTTTGTAAGGATCTTTGACCATTGCATGATTTTGTAACTTCAAGCATTGATTATTTGGAAAATAGGGTTCCTTGAATTAACACAGATTTTCTAAATGTTACATTTTACTATATAATTTCATGTCTTAATAACACCACCAAACTCATCAGAAAAGCTTTTAAAAAGTATTAGAAATTGCCAGGTTTACAGTGGCAAACAGAAGTTTTCCAAAATTCTGCTTTTTGCCTGGAAGATCTAATTCTATAATTGAGCACTATTGCTGTCAGTTGTGGGTTTTAAATAACAGCTTTATTATTGATATGTATTTCACATACCAAAGAGTTCACCCATTTAAAATGTGAAATTCAGTAGTTTTTAGTATATTCACAAAGTTGTGCAGCCATTACCACCATCAGTTTTAAAACATTTTCCCCAAAATATTTTAGAATATTGACATTACCCCCCCCCCCAGAAAAACCCATACCCTTTAAACTATTACCCACCAACTTCTACCCCTCCATGCCCCTAAGCAACTGCTAATCCACTTTCTGTTTATGGATTTCCCTTTTCTGGACTTGCATGTGAATGGAATCATAGTTACATGGTCTTTGGTGACTGGCTTCTTTCACTTAACAATATTTTCGATGTTTATCCATATTTGTAGCATATATCAGTATTGCATCCTTTTTTTTGGGTTTACCATTTTAACCATTTTGGGGTTTACAGTTTTGTTGCATTAAGTACATTTATATTGTGCCGCCTGACCACTGTCCATTTGCAGAACTTTTTCTTCATCCCAAACTGAAACTCTGTACAATATTAAATGATTATTTCCTATTATCCTCTTCCCCTGCCCTCTGGTAACCACAATTCCGCTTTTTGTCTCTATAGAATTTGGTTATTCTAGATACTTCATATAAATGACATCAGAGGGTATTTGTCTATTTGTGTCTGGTTTATTTCACTTAGCATGTTTTCGAGATGTATGCATGTCATAGTATGTATCATTTCATTCCTTTTTATTGTCAAATCGCATTCCCTTTTATGAATATACCACAGTTGATAAACACTTGGTTGTTTCCACTTCTGTCCTTATCAGTAATGTTGTAGGGAATATTACTGTACAAGTTTTTGTGGAGATGTAACTTTTCATTTCTCTTGGATGTATTTGCTGAGACCTATGGCAACTCTGTGTTTAACCTTTTGAAGAACTGCCAGACTGTTTCCAAAGAGGCTACACTATTTTACGTACCCAACAGCAGTGTATGAGAATTCCAATTTCTCCACATCCTCCCCAACGTTAGTTAATATGTTTTATATTACAGCCTTCTTGTGGGTGTGAAGGTACTGTCTTGTGATTTTGATTTGCATTTTTTCTGATGGCTAATTATATAGAGCATGTTTTTATGTGCTTGTTGGTTATTTGTGTATCATCTTTGGAGAAATGTCTGTTCAAGTCCTTTGGCCATTTTTAAATTGTGTTATTTTTCATGATGAATTGTAAGGGTTTTTAATATATTCTAGATACCATACTCTGGTCAAATACACAATTTGCAAATCTTCTATTCTGTGGGTTGCCTTTTGACTCTCTTGGTAGTGTCCTTTGATACACAAAAGTTTTCAGGTTTTTTTTTTTTTTAAGATTTTATTTATTTATTCATGAGAGACAGAGAGAGGCAGAGGCACAGGCAGAGGGAGAAGCAGGCTCTGTGCAGGGAGCCTGACGTGGGATTCGATCCTGGGTCTCCAAGATCACACCCATCTTTAGGTGGTGCTAAACTGCTGAGCCACCTGGGCTGTCCCAGTTTTCAGTTTTGATGAAAGTCCAGTTTATCTAATTTATTTCTTTTGTTGTTTGTGCTTTTAGTGTCATATCTAAGAACAGTTAACTAATCCGAGGTCATGGAGATCTTCATCTGTGTCTTCTTTTAAGTGTTTTATAATTTCAGCCCTTATATTTAGGTCTGATGTATTTTGAGTTAATTTTTGTATATAATGAGATTTAGGAGTTCAGGCTCATTCTTTTGCATGTCAGTATCCAGTTGTCCCAGCATTATTTGTTGAAAGACTGTTCTTGCCACGTCAAATTGTGCCTTAATACTCAAAAATATGAAAACTTAGAGAACTACCTGGCATTAGCCACACTGCAAAGTTTAAAATCAACTATCATGGTTAGAGAGCATATAGGTGGGCACCCCGGGTGGCTCAGCAGTTTGGCGCCACCTTCGGCCCAGGGCGTGATCCTGGAGACCCGGGATTGAGTCCCACATCAGGCTCCCTGCATGGAGCCTGCTTCTCCCTCTGCCTGTGTCTCTGCCTCTCTCTCTGTGTGTCTCTCATGACTAAATGAATAAAATCTTAAAAAAAAAAAAAAAAGCATACAGGTTCTTAAAAAGACCACCTTCACTTACGACAGTAACTGCAGGTTCAGGAATTTCCCAAAACCATCCTCAGGTTTGATAATTCACTAGAAGAGTTCTCTAAGAGCTATACTTGTGATTACAGTTTATTCCAGAGAAAGGATATAGATTAAAATCAGCTAAAGGAAGAGACATATAGGGCAGAATTTTGAGTTATAAATATAAAGCTTCTGTATTTCTCTTTCATAGAATCAAAGATTTGTAACATTATGCATGAAGTATTGCCAACCAGGGAAGCTCACCTTAGCTTCAGAGTCCAGAGTTTTCATTGGGATTTCATTACATGGTCATAAATAAATTTGATTGATCGCCTACAATTGAGTTCAGTGTCCAGGTCAATTGATACTACATTACCCAAAGTCCCCACTCTAAACTGTATAACTAGTCTTTCTGGGATGGCCATAAGATCTGGTAACAAAAACACTCCTGTCAGGTATAGATTATCTCCCAGAATCCAAAGCCAAAACCAGATCTCATTTTGGGCAGGACCAAATTTTTTACTACACTGGTACAAATACCCATTTCCTAGGGCACAGTTAAGAAAAGAGTAAGGTTTTGGGGGACATCTGGGTGGCTCAGTTGGTTAAGTGTCTGACTCTTGATTTTGGCTCAGGTCATGATCTCTCAGGGTGAGATCAAGTCCTGTGTGAGACTCCATGCCCAGTGAAGAGTCTACTTAAGATCCTCTGCACCTCCCCCCACTCACAAGCATTTGTTTACTCTCTCTGTCTTTCTCAAATAAATAAATCTTTATTAAAAAAAATAATAAGGTTTTCCTGAATGTTTTCTGTCAGGAATTATATTGGAATCTTTATAAATGGACATTTCATTAAATTTTCAAATTAACCCTGAGAAGTACTATTCCTTCAGTTTGCACATGAGGAAACCGAGGCTCATAAGCCAACTGACTATTCTGAGTGGTAGAGCTAAGATTCAGACCTAAATTACTGTTTCAAAGCCAAGCCCTCCATCAAACACTGCTTGTGGTGACTGCTCCATTGCACAGCTCCAAGGGCACTTTCTACATTGTATTCTCTTTGGGTGGCTTTCCTTCCTACACTGAAGCACCTTGGATCCCAGCCACCCTAAATAACACATACCATCTGAATAAAAGCAGTTTTGTTTGCTGCATAAATGGGTCTTCCAGACAAGTTTCTTGGACTTCTCTACTGTGAATTCTGGAGTCGTCACCACACATTGCCTCCCGGCATAGTAAATTAAAAGTCTATAAAGATATTCTCAGGCAGCCCGGGTGGCTCAGTAGTTTAGTGCCGCCTTCAGCCCAGGGCATGCATGATCCTGGAGACTTGGGATGGAGTCCCACGTCAGGCTTCCTACATGGAGCCTGCTTCTCCCTCTGCCTGTGTCTCTGCCTCTCTTTGTTTCTCTCATTAATATAATAATATAATATAATATAATATAATATAATATAATATAAATAAAAAAATATAATATAAAATAAATAATAATCTGCCCTCATTAAAAAAAAAAAGATATACTCATCAGGTGATCTGTTTTGAAACACCAAGCAATAGTTGCCTCATCTTTTCTTTTGGGTGGATTTAAGTATCACTGAAACTCATACTACTGTTTTTTCCTTCTCAGGCTGCTGTACAGGACCGATTGAATGAACAGGAGGGTGTACCAAGTGTTTTCAACCCACCTCCATCCCGACCCCTGCAAGTTAATACAGCTGACCACAGGATCTACAGTTATGTTGTTTCAAGACCACAGCCAAGGGCAAGTTATTTTGTAACTGGAGTTTCCCCCTTGTTTATTTTATAAGTCCATTCACAAGGTTGTATTGATCTCTATATGATAGGAGCAAAGGAAATACTCAGAATGTGAATCTGTTAGTTAGACCTGGCACCTTGGCAGATTTATTGGGTTTATCATTTTCTCTTGATTCCTCAATGAATTGTTAGAGTAACTATCCTTTTTTGTTTTATTTTTGTCTTTGCTAGTATTTGAAGAGTTCTGTACACCTTGTTTTGAGTACACAGTTTTATTTACATATCTAAAAATGTTTATTACATGTTTAATAGATCTTTCACTATTTCTTTTTCAAGATTTTATTTTTTTAAGTAATCTGTACGCCCGACATAGAGTTCAAACTCATAGCTGTGAGATCAGTAGTCACATGCCCTACCAGCTGAGCCAGACATCCCTAGATGTTTCATTTTCACTTTTAAGTAAGAGTGTTTACTGGTTTTTTTTTTGTTGCTTCATTTTACTTAATTTTAAGCTACTTCTGGGAAAGTTATTTGGAATCTTTGTGGAGACCTTGGCCATATCTTTGAAATTCATCTTGAAGGGGTAGTAACTGGGAGGTGATGGTGGTTCCTTTAAATTCAACAGGTTAATTTAAGAGTGCTCCATTGTATCTGCTATTTTGCTGTTGGTGATCCAGATAGGAATAAAGAGCCAGTCCTCCCTCTTCAAACTGCACTTATAGTCTAATTAGGAAAGTCAGATATGTATATACTGATAATGAACTCCAGAGAACTTTTTGGAGTTTCTCTTTCTTATTCTTGAAGTTATCCCCAATCTCTTATACTTGGATTTAGAATTCCAAAAAGGAGTCTCTTTAACCTTGCAGCAGTTAGAATTTACTCAATTATTGTAACTTTTTTGTAGAGTACTTGACAACATTTTAAAAATGGGAGTTTCTAACTAGTTGTTTTAGGGTATGCTGAAGTAGAAGAAAACAGATTCCTAGAGCAGTTATATGACTCCAGAAATTCTGTATATGCCTAATGCTTTGTCAGTTTGTTTGGGCTTGACTCAGTGTTTGGGATCCTAAGGTTAGCCATGAGGCTTCAGAACCCCCCTGGCCATAGACACAGGGAAGGTCTCAGGTTAACACAATATGACATATAAGAAAGGCTTTGTAAACTGTAAAGCCTCTGTATATGTTCTAGTTAATAATAACATCAGCGGGGCAGCCCGGGTGGCTCAGCAGTTTAGCGCCACCTTCAGCCCAGGGCCTGATCCTGGAGACATGGGATCCAGTCCCACGTCAGGCTCCCTGCATGGAGCCCACTTCTCCCTCTGCCTGTGTCTCTGCCTCTCTCTCTGTCTGTGTCTCTCATGAATAAATAAATCTTAAAAAAAATTGGTAATAAATATTGCTAAAATAATAATTAGTATTATCACTAAGATTAGCAGCTATATGGGGATTTATAATTGTGGTTAATATAATTATTTGTCTTTTATATACAGATATCCAGGGTAGTAGTATCTTATCTTACCCTGGATAAGATAGTGGTTATCTTTATTGTTATTTCTGTATACCATATTTTATTTTTTTTTAAGATTTTATTTATTTATTCATGATAGAGAGAGAGAAGCAAAGACACAGGCAGAGGGAGAAGGAAAGAAGCAGGTTCCATGCAGGGAGCCTGACGTGGGACTCAATCCCTGGTCTCCAGGATCACACCCCGGGCCGAAGGCGGCGCCAAACCGCTGAGCCACTAGGGCTGCCCTGTATACCATATTTTAATGTGTAAATCTGAAAAGAAAAGAATTGAATATTTATGACTTAGGGAAGCATACTTGTAATTGGATTTGTTTTTTTTTTTTTTTTTTTTTTTTTTTTAAATTTCATTTATTTATGATAGAGAGAGAGAGAGAGAGAGAGGTAGAGACATAGGCAGAGGAAGAAGCAGGCTCCATGCACCGGGAGCCCGACGTGGGATTCGATCCCGGGCCTCCAGGATCGCGCCCTGGGCCAAAGGCAGGCGCCAAACCGCTGCGCCACCCAGGGATCCCCTGTAATTGGATTTGATAACTCATAAAGGTACAGAAAGTGTTAAAGCAGGTTTAATACAAAAATTTATGTGGTAAGAGAAAAATATGTTATTAAATGAAAGAAATGAAAGGCAGTTGGTCTTTAAGAAGGTTGATGTGGCCAGGATGAGGGATCTGTATTGTAGAGGGAGGAATCATGTGAAAGAACAAAAAGAGTAGAAACCTGAAGTAGTCATTTTGCAGGGTGATAGGGTTTGAGAGAATTGTGTCTAACTTTGTTTTTGGAATTTCAGGGGCTGCTTGGATGGGGTTATTACTTGATAATGCTTCCATTCCGGTTTACCTATTACACAATACTTGATATATTTAGGTATGTACATTTGTATTTATGTGTTAGTAGCAATAGGGTAGACTTTGGAGCTGAAACATAGACCAGAATAATAAGGTTTGTGCTCTGTCAGTTTTGACTTGCCAATTTGTCATCACATTGAATACTCTTCCTGAACAATCTTTTAATATAATATGACAGTATTTTAAATTGGTCAAACATAACAGATGTTATGAAATGGAACTGTCTTAAATTAAGCCTGTAAAGTAGTCCTGCCTATTATTCTCAAGGTCAGCCTACCTACATTTATCGTTATCTGCCCTCCTCCCACCATCTTTGTCACCTTTACATTCCTTAATCTTCACACCCTTTTCTTTCTAACCACCATTATCTAGTAGCTTCACACTCCTTGTAACTTTTACCCTAAACCATCTAACTTCATCTGACTACTCATAATCTCAACAAACTTTCTTGCTTTGAGATTATCCATTTTTTCCCTCTCCCACAACAGTTTTACCTCTCAGACACTCATACATAATGTGTCCTGGCAATGCATACGTTGCTGACACTGGCACCCTTCTGTATGTATACTCCCTTGATTCACACTTTCACTTTTCTTCTCACTTCCTCCATGTACCATTCAGACAGTTCAGCACCAGGGTCAGGACTAGAAAATATCAAAGGGGCCCAAGTTTCTGTCATATTAGTCTTGGGGCATCTGATCTAGAGCTGAGTAGTAAATGAACCTATACCTAGATTTTATGGAGGAACTAAAATGTTTTATGGGCATCCAGGCCAACAGATGGAGCCAGAATATGTGGTCTCGACCTTGCATACAGGGCAGCGGATATTTTCCCCCATATATGGAATAGCTTTGCCTTGTTCTAGAGAGCAGGGGCTGTGGAGGTCGGGACCCAGCAGGTTAGTTGTGAAGGATCAGGTAATATCTTTTACCTTGACTACTTGGTGTTTTAGGAGTCTGCCTGCTTAATGACTTCGTTGCTTTAGCAGTTCATCAATTGGTACTTTTCCCATCCTATTTTATGCAAGAATGGGCACATATAAAATGTTAAAACTAATAAAGACTGAATTGAGATCTCTATTTTTCTTTAAGAGCTGATTGTCCTGAATTGTGTAGGCCATGGAAAGATACTGTAATTAGAAAGAAAGAAGCTACATTCATTCGTTAAAATTTGAAAACTTAAAAAGACTAGTAAGATAACCTTAAATACTTAATTTCAAAGAAAGTTATCAAAATATCAGTCTTGTAAAGGATTTCTAACTACTCCCCCACATACACAACTTCTTATATATGTTTTTAATTTCCTATGGAATATTTGTGTCAGTGAATTTGATTTGATTACTCAGGAGAATTTCTAAATGAAATTGTATGCACATGGGTAATTTGAGGGGCTAAGAAATTGGCTCAAGATTTGTTAAGGAAAGTGTCATAGTTTAGTCACTTTTCTGTGCTGAAATGCCTCATGTATGTGAATATTGGCTTTCCTTGGAAAAAATATGCATGGCATGTGTGACTAATTTTAATGCAACTGTATCATCCAAGCAACTTTAATGTTATGTAGCACATTGACTTACCAAAATTGTCCATTGCCTTCTCTGGAAACCCAAAAGATAAATATATGATACTATACAAATATGATAAGATAGGCTCTTTAGAAAGAGATGTGTGGTATCATCCCTTATCTTGACAATAGCTGCCAGGTCTCTAAATCAGCCAGTGTACTCTGGATCAGTTTTATAACTTCCTTCATGGATGCCATTAACCATAAATCAGTAAGCAGAATTTTATTGCCCCCTTGAAAAGCAGGTAAATCATGACCACAAGTTCGGGTTTGAAGCCTGTCCATAATTTGAATAACTTGGGAGTATGCACTAAAAATTCAAAATCCCAGGACAACAGAAAGGAGAGGGAGAGGCAAGTAGGACAACCAGAAAGAGCTCTATTCTAGAGCAGTGCTATCCAGTAGAATTTTCTGTGGTAATGAAAACATTCTGTATCTGCACTGTCCAGTGTGGAAGCCACTAACCACATGTGACTATTGAGTACTTAATTGTGGCAAGAGTGACTAAAGATCTGAATTTTATTTTACATTTTATTTCGCTAATTTAAATTTAAATAGCACAAGTGGCTAGTGGCTACCTTATTAGACAGTGCCATTCTAGAGACTCTGGGGGGCACAGCCTGACCTGTGATCTTTTTGGACTGTGTCTTCCTTTCCCGTTTTTTTCTAGTCCTGAATTTTTCTGCAAAAAGCACTCTGGATTTGCTCAGGCCAGTGTTGGAATTTATAAATCCTAGTAGGTTACATTTGTCTTGAACAGGCAATGGAACAACACTTGCTGCTTTGCAGCTTTTTTTGAATAAAGCTTTGCAGACTTTATTCTCAGATTTGATGGTCCATTCACAGACCATATACCTCCTTTTGCTGCCGTGCCTCTGGCTCTGTTGTAGGAATCTTTACAAACTGGCCCACTACAGTAAGCCAATTCATGTGATATTTATTCCTTCCTCCCCAGGTTTGCTCTTCGTTTTATACGGCCTGACCCTCGCAGCCGGGTCACTGACCCCGTTGGGGACATTGTTTCATTTATGCACTCTTTTGAAGAGAAATATGGGAGGGCACACCCTGTCTTCTACCAGGGAACGTACAGCCAGGTCAGTGCCACAAACCATATAGATGCCAATTTATTGATATGGTTCTATCCATAAAGGAAAGCATAGCCCAGCACTGATCATGTCATTCTTTTACTCAAGAACCTTAACTACCTCTTGACTGCTTCCAGAAAAAGAAAAACCAGCCCTACTTGATCTAATCCCAACCTCCTTTTGAGGTCTTTGCTGTATAACTTGTTTCTCCATATCCTAGGTTCCAGCTAAACCATTTCCTGAACATATTTTATATACTTTTTCACCTCTGTGCCTTTGCTTTTGCTTTTCCCTCCACCTGGAATGCCTTCCTCACGTTTTTTGCTAAATGGAAGCTTTCCCATCCTTCAACTAGGTCCTATCACTCCCTTCTTATAAACCCTTTCTGATTGACGTGTCCTACCTGGCCTACCTTGCAGTCTAACTAAAATAGTAGTCTTTCCTTTTGTGCTTTCATAGTTTTTTTGAAAACTTAAAGCAGTTTCACATTCTTCCTTATATTATGGTTAATTATGTTTATTTTTTATCTCCTATACCAGACAGTAATCCCCTTAAAGGCAAAGTCTAAGTCATCTTTGATCCCTCACAGAATTGAGTAAGGACATAGGCCATAGACTGAAGGCAGCACATCTCAGTCAACCCAAGCCACATAAACCTTTGACTGATACCTCTTAAGGGGTGAAAATTAAGAGTTCTGTGGGTGTTAGGCATATCTCGAGTTTGCCAAAGAAAAATGTAGAAGTAACACTGTGTCTGTAGTCCAAAGGATGGTTCTGTTCTGCAGCCTCCAGTATTCCTGAATCTATCTGGTAAAAAAAACAAACACACACAAAAAAACTTACTCTTGCTTTCTGCTTTGATTCTCCCATATTGGCTTTTTCTCTTAGTTGGTCCCTCAGAGGCTCTGCTGCCCCCTACTCAACAAGCATTAAGCACCCACGCTAAAGATGCAGTTGTGAATGACATTGGTACCTCTGCACCCTCTTTGCTATGATCCTGAGGGTAGACCACCATTGGTCATTCCGGAGATACTAATTGAATTGTATTGTGCTGAGGATTATGCAAAATGCAGAAGCATACAAAGGAATCTTGGACACTTGCGTTGTCTTTGAAGATCTTTTAAACTTTGTGCTCTTTAGAATGTATTTGGGTCCCCCAGTCTTGCATCCCTGCTTGGAATGTGGCCTGAGATCAGGCTCATCTTTGCAGTATTTTTTGTGTATAAAGATGTTGTAGCTGTAAAGTGGCAAAACTCTCACCTCCCCTTTCATGTGGTCAGATTCTCGTTTTTATCTTCCTTTAGACTGTGGGAACAGCTGACTTTTCTGTGATTTGTTGGGGACCTTTCTTTGTCAGCCTGTCTACTCTCATGTGCCTAATACAGTTTAAATCCTAACACCGAACCTTTTCATTAAAGCTTGTTAGCTTGGACGTTTTGTAGGGAGAAAAATGCCAGGAGTATGAAGGTAGGAGCCCAGAATCTGATTTCTTGTTCACATTTTTTCTTCATTTCTCCTTTTGTTCTCTTAGCCTAAGGAAAAGCTCAAGGCATAGTCATCATAGTAATTAGTGATCTTCTGTTTCTCACAGGCACTTAACGATGCCAAGCGGGAGCTTCGCTTTCTTTTGGTTTATCTTCATGGAGATGATCACCAGGACTCTGATGAGTTCTGTCGGTAAGTGAATTGATTGATTGTTTAAATTTTTTTGTCTGCTGATGTTTTGTAGTAAGCAAGTTCTTCTCATATCCTTTTCGTCCCTCTCCACAGCAACACACTCTGTGCCCCTGAAGTTATTTCCCTAATAAATACTAGGATGCTTTTCTGGGCATGCTCCACAAATAAACCTGAGGGATATAGGGGTAAGTTGTGTTTCTTTTTCCTCATTGAGATTGTTGAGATATCTTTGGGATAGTCTGGGAAAACACGCCGTTTATTGCATGACTATTCTGTGTTAGACATGTGCTCATTACATTTTATATATTATCATATGTAATCCTCTCAGTAGTCCTGAAAGGAGGGTTGTATTATCTTCCCTTTATGGTTTAGGAAACAGGCTCAGAGAGTTTAAGTGATACTGTACAGTTAGCAAGCTCAGGTCTGTTAGACTCTAGTGCATTCTTTATAGGTAACCATTGCCAGGTTTTATTTTTAAAACATCCACTCCTATCCAGCAGGACTAATCTAATCGCTTTTAATCTAAGTGGCTTTTTACTGAGGAGTTGACTCTCATCATGAGTGATTTTATTTTATTTATTTTAAAGATTTTTATTTATTTATTTGAGAGAGAGAGATAGAGGGAGAAGCAGGCTCTCTGCTGAGCAGGGAGCCCGATGTGGGGCTTGATTCCAGGGCTCTGGGATAATGACCTGAGCCAAAGGCAGACGTTTAACCACCTGAGCCACCCAGGTGCCCCCCCCCCAATCAGCAATTTTAACAGCTTCTTGCACATTCAATTAGTTGGGTACTCGAGTGCTGATAGGGATTCAGAAAGTTCAGATCTTTGCTGACAATAACTCTTCACCAGAGATAAGTATATTTAGAAATCAATATAAAGCATACATTAAGAAAAATGTAGTTACTTTGTAGTTACTTGTGTTCAGCAACTTTTGAGTATATACTAGCATAGATACTAAGAATCAAAGATGTTTTGCCTACCTATTAAAATCTGAATCTTTACTCCTAATTGGTCTTTAAACATCTGATAAATTCATACAGCATGCGTTTTGCCACTCTAATATGGCTTTGGGGATACCCTATGGAGGGTAGTTGATAGAAAGAGATATATTTTTTATAGAAGCTTATAAAATATCTTCTTTAAAACCATAAGAAAAACATAAATAAAACTCCTTTATGGTAAAATCCTGCTTATTTGGAAAACTAACTTTCTAAAACCTCTTTGAACAAAAAAAAAACTAGCTCTTTTGGTTGGGGGTAGGTGAGGGAGACATGAGGAAAGGACTAAGGAAGGGATTGAGTAAGAGGAAGAAAAGGCAGAAGACAGTGGTGGATCTCATCACCAGTAATAAAAGGCTGAGATTTACAGCCTTATTTTCTTTAGTCCTGATACCCAATATAGGGGAAAATTATGCTTAGCAGTAGCTAAATTCTTTATAGGTCCTTTTTTTACCAAAATGGCTTTGTCCTTGACTTCTGCAGTCTTCCCAAGCATCATTATGACAACCACTCCTGCCAGAATAGTTTATCCTATTCTAATCAAATGACCTGGGAATAGGGACACAAAAATAAAATAAAACCACAGCAAAGATTAAAAAACTAGGAGGACAAAAGGTATGTAGAGAATAAGTGAGACCTCCTTTCATTCCCAAGTGGGAGTAAAACCTTCCTGTCTTGCTCCTTGTGGAAAGTCTAAGAGTTGATCTGGTTCATCCGTAGGGCTGCCCTTAACCTGTTGACTCTTCTTTCTCTCAGTCTCACAGGCTTTACGAGAGAACACCTATCCATTCCTGGCCATGATTATGCTGAAGGATCGGAGAATGACTGTAGTGGGACGGCTAGAAGGCCTCATTCAACCCGATGATCTTATTAACCAGCTGACATTTATCATGGATGCAAACCAGACTTACCTGGTGTCAGAACGCCTTGAAAGGTACAGGGGAAGTTCCTCTGAAAAGAGAGAGACCAGCTGTAAATTTGGATGGCTGACCCAGGGCTCCACAAATCCTGACTTACTCTCTCTTAGAGGCAACTTTAAATACCTTACCCATTTAGTGTTAAAATATTTATGTACGTTGACCAAAATAATTCTATCAGATCATCTGTTCTTGGAGATATGATTCAAAATAAAGACAAGGCTGTATGCTCAAGAATGTATATATCATGTCATTTAGGTGAACCATAATCTAAGGAGCTTAAATGTAAAAAATGTGGAATTATTAAAACTCTTCCTCCCATTATGTAAGTAGTGCACATTAATTGTAGAAAATGTTGAAACCCAGAAAAGCACACAAAAAAATTTTAAATCCCCCGTAATCCTACCACAACTTTTAATATTCTGGTGTATTTTCTTTCATTTTTTTAGATCCATTCTCTCACTCACTCCTATGTAGATATACATAGTTTGGGGAGAAAATAGGGAGTATACCAGAATGTTACAGTATTTTCTCTTTGGTTAGTAGAATTCTGAACAAGATTTTCTCCATTTTCCAAATATTCTAAGATGCATTTATGTGGTTTTTGGTTTTATGAAAGCAATATATGCAAAAATCCAATAATCCTCCAAAGGGGTATTTAACTGTAAAATACGATCTTGATGATTACTTTTTGGCAATAATACTGTTACTTTTGCTAGAATTGAGAAGAGAGGATAGTTTTACTTGTAAAGTTAAAAGGGAAAGGGAAAGGAAAAGTTTGCCATTTCTTTTTCTTCCATATTAAATTGGTAAATGAGATGGCTCATTCAGATTTTGCCATGCTGTGCTTTGGAATCCTTTATGGTGGTATGAAATACTCACCTGTCAAGATTGTTGACCTTTTTACCTCCCCACAAATTTTGGTATAAGAAAACAGAGATTGCTCTTTGCCTTCTCTGCTTTTTGGTCTGGCCACAGGGAAGAACGAAATCAGACCCAGGTCCTGAGACAACAGCAAGACGAGGCCTATCTGGCCTCTCTCAGGGCAGACCAGGAGAAAGAAAGGAAGAAACGGGAGGAGCGGGAGCGGAAGCGGCGGAAGGAGGAGGAGGTGCAACAGCAAAAGTTGGCAGAGGAGAGACGTCGGCGGGTAATGAACCTGTCTTTCTTCCTCAAGATTCCCAAACTGATCTTAAGTGTGAAAGGAAAAAAACTTGAAAATGGTGGGATTTGTGGGTGTTTTAATTCCTTGCCGTATTTTTTTTTAAAGAAGTTTTCTGTCCAGTGTGGGGCATGAACTTGCAGTTAAGAGTTGCATGCCCTACTGACTGAGCCAGCCAGCTGCCCCCTCCTTGCCATTTTTATATTTATTACATTTCCACAAATATTTTTTAAATTTATTAAAACACAACAGTGAGCAAAAATCAGGCAGAAAACTCTATTCCATGGAAAGTAAGTACAAATGCACAAGAAGCAGTTCAAAATCCACAGCAGTAGTTTTTATATCTTAGCAATATTGTTAACTAATTTGGCATTTCATTCATGCTCTTTCATTGTATATTACCACTTGATTACAGCCAGTGTCTTTTAGCGATTCCCTTTTTTTCCAGACAGGTAAATACCCTAACATAGTTAATAAATAATATATGTGATGTGGTAGCACTTTGAATTAGGGTCTTTCTGTTTCTGACTCTTGCCAGGAGGTTTTTCTTATTAGTCATTTATTTTTCTTCTGGCTGCGCGGTAAACCTACATGGTGATAGTATTCCTGTTTCCCTGTTAGAGCCATAGCCTTAACTTTGCTTTGTGTCTGTACAGAATTTACAAGAGGAAAAGGAAAGGAAGTTGGAATGCCTGCCCCCGGAGCCTTCCCCTGATGACCCTGAAAGTGTCAAGATCATTTTCAAATTACCCAATGATTCTCGAGTAGAGAGACGATTCCACTTTTCACAGTCTCTAACAGTAAGGACCACCTAAGTTGTGTGAAGTGTATGTAGGGTCTGGGCTGTAGATTTGGAAGCTTTTAAGGGCTCTTGAGAGTGTTGTTGGTGTATCTGCTGCTCTCATGAACAAGGCAGGAAAGGGTGGGGCAGAGAGAGAAGAGTGCAGTGAACTATTAGATTCTTTCAGTTCTAGCTGCCAACTCAAAGGATAACATATTCAGGTTTTCTTTCATCATATTTGAGTTCTGCTAAGAAACAAGTATAACTTACCAAGAAGTTCCACAAAAGACTTGCACATTAAGTTGATGGGAGGCTCTTCCATGCCAGTTAGCTCACATTGCCCTCAGAATCCCACCAGAACTCCTCACTTCTGTCTACGCAGAAAGCTGTCTCCACTGACCTAAAAGCACCAGAATTACACATCTGAATATAAATGCATGCAGTTATCACTCTCCCTTTCTATCCATTTAGCCCATAAGAAGCCCCACTTTGTGGGGCTACCTTGTATATCTGATATCTAGAGGTAAGTAGTGTTTGTCATTCCATAGGAAAATAGTTAAAAGCAGAGACTCTTAGAATATCACAGAATGATGGGGCACTTGGGTGACTCAGTTGGTTAAGCTTCTGTCTTCAGCTCAGGTCATGATCCGGGGACCTGGCATCGGAGCCCTGTGTCAGGCTTATTGCTCAGTGGAGAGTCTACTGCTGCTTCTCCCTCTGTTCTTCCTCCCGCCCCCACTCATGCATGTACACACAGGCTCTCTCAAATAAATAAAATCATCTGAAAAATTATCAAATTCTCATTCTTCTAAGATCAGTAGGTGTGTTTTCTTGGTCAGTATACTTCATTGACTGTGTTTCTTCATCTGTCAAATGGGTATGATAATAGGTACTCTAATGAGATTATTTTTATTATTAAATTTGTATGTAAAGGGCTCAACATTGTGCCTGGCTCATAGTGAGCACTTAAATGGTTACTGTTGTTTTGTTGTTTATAACCAAAAGGAAGTGTCTATTTATATTGATAGTTGGTATGTTGTCTTTCCAAATTTACCAACTATATAGTAGATTCTGCCATTTCTCTGATCACTCGAGATAATCAAGAGTAAACTGCATAATAGAAATAAGGATGCACTGCAGTTAAGGGAGGCTGGCTAGCACATTTTTACTTCTCCTGTTTAAATAAAGAGCATCGGACAAGTTGCAGAATTTTTTACAGGGCCTCAGGTACCTCACCAGTTAAATGGAAATATAATCTACCCTTTGATAACTTTAAATTGAAGGGATCTCAGGCACTGTTCTAGGCACTCCAGGGGTTTTGCAGATGAGTGAGACTCCTGGAGCTTATGGCCAGTGGGGAATGTGAGACTCAGAGCTAACACAAAGTAAAAAGTTAGGAGGTACCCTGATGAGAGAAAAATGAGTAGCATTCTCATTTTATTTATCTCATTTATGCATTTATTTCTATTGAGGGAAGGTGTTCATATCCCTAACTTTGGATTTTTAAATTGGGATGATATGAATGAGCCTCACACAATACATACCATGTAGGTGGTTACTAAATGTTCGTTCCTTTCCCTGGTGTGTTTCCTAACTATTGGTTTGCATTTGGATTTTAGCTTGCAACCATGTTCATTAACAGTTTCACATCATAGTATAACTGACTTTTTTTTTTTTTTAAGATTTTATTTATTCATGAGAGACGCAGAGACACGGGCAGAGGGAGAAGCAGGCTCCATGCAGGGTGCCCAATGTGGGACTCGATCCTGGGACTCCAGGCCCAACGTCCCGGGCCAAAGGCAGATGCTCAACCACTGAGCCACCCAGGGATACCGTATAACTAACTCTTAAGGAGCTTCTACTCCCCAAATTCTAATTGTGTGTGTGAAAAACCTAACAAAAATGAACTCTCTTAAGAGTTTCAGAAGAAAATCTATTAGAATTGTGAAACAGTACAGGCTTCTGGCCTAAGGGGAACCAACCCATTTATTAACTAATCCTTAAAGACTCATTTTATTTCAGTTTATTTTTTTAGATTTTATTTACTCATTTGAGAGAAAGAGCATCCACAACTATGGGGGCAGGGACAGAGAGAGGAAGAAGCAGACTCCCCACTGAGCAGGGAGCCCTATGTGGTGTTTGATTCCAGGACCCTCAGATCATGACCTGAACCAAAGGCAGCTGTTTAACCAACTGAGCCATCTGGGCCCCCCAGTCCTTCAAGACTTAAATAGGTTCTCAGCTTTGAAAAACAAATCTCAGACTGAGAGAAATAGTTGGTCATAAGTGGGGACAAGGCTCAGAGATGGGAAATAAGTGTAAAGGAGAAGTCTTTAGTGATGGTATAGGCTTTTAATTTAACATTCATGGGATTTATAATATAACTGAGTAAAGATTTACAGTTCTTTTATGTTCTTGCAGACTTTGTGTCATGTACAGTGAAATACTCAATTTGCAGGAAGCTCAGCTCTTGATAGTAGTAAAATGCTAAGATAAAAAAGGAAAAACTGGAAAAATCTCTAGATCTCATGAGTGGGGAGAAAAGTAGCAAGCTGACTTTCTGTTAAAATGAATGCATATTAGAGAGAATCCAAATTATACTTAGCCCAGGACTCATTTTTCTATCCATTAGAAACCAAAAGCAACCTCTGGAGGTGACGTCCATTGTCAGTGGTCAACAGAAAATGCCAATTTTATAACAGGGCTGACTATTATCAAGCAAGATTGAAATGGAAACAAAATATTGTTTCACACTATGTAAAGACCCTGTTGGGCTCATACCAGTAAACTTTGTTCAAGTCTATTGATGCATCTTAATATAAGAAAAGAAGGTAAATGTTAATGGAAATTGCACAGAGAGACAGAGACTCTAAATGAGGTTGATAGATTAAAATATGTTAATTTATAAAATCAAAATATGTGAGTTTATAAAATCATGAATGGATTTAGAGGAGCATGGATTTACTCCTTAAGTTTTGGAGTGATATGTTGCCTCTTAAAAGCTCTAAAGAGGTAAGTTTAAGACCAATAAAGGACTGCTTTGCACAAAGGGGACTAAATTTATGTGAGGTACAACAAAAAGAAAATAGGTTCCCTCAAAATAGTAAGGGTAATTTGAGTGTTGTGGGATTGACCTGAAAGAGGTTAGTTAGCATGCTAGATGAAGAGGCCCATAGAGTAGATCCAGTGTGCCTGTTCTTAATATATGGCATCAAGAAACAGGGAGCAATAAAGGTGGCCCATTCCATAGGTACCTCACATTTTAAGTTTTAGCAATATGAGTTTTCTTGATGTCACCTTAACTTCTTATTAAGAATTTACCTTTATCAGCCTGAGTAGGGTGAGGAGGGCATTCTCACAGAGGACAGGTGCCCATGAAGGATGTTAGATCATTGACCAAATTTAGGACAGTGTCCACACAGAGCATGAGCGCAGCCCATGGTGGGGTGTGGGGTGTTAAAGCCAGAACTGGATTAAGGGGGAAACAAACTCATGGTTTTTTGCATTATATACGAGAAATATAGACATTGATGTGTGTATGTGTATACACATATTCTCTAGTTTTTTCCACAGAGAGTGATTGGGAGCAGCAACCCCCCAGTAGCAATGAATGTACATAGCACCTGGATTGTGGCTTTTAAATACCACTGCCCCCCCCCCCCAATATATATATGTACCACTGTCCATTAAGAAGAACCAGGGTTCCTTGGAGAAATGGCTTATTCCAGAGCTGGGGCAAGAAAACACAAGATCAGCCTAAAATACCTTGTGCTAGAAATAGAAAGCAAGGAATTATTCAAAAAATGATGGAGACTTGTCACCTTGGATGGGCTCTTCTGACTCCATCTGAAACATTTGAACATTAAAATAAATACTATAACATTATAACCTTCTGAATAAAATAGGAACTCGTGAATCTATGTTAATATAAATAAATAAGTTGAAAGTTTGAGCAACAGAAATCTCTGTAGTCTCGAAGTACCTCCCCACAAGATCTCTTTAATTATAAAAGTAGAGGGACACCTGGGTGACTCAGTGGTTGAGCGTCTGCCTTTTGCTCAGGTCGTGATCCTGGAGTCCTGCAATCAAGTCCTGCACCAGGCTCCCTCCAGGAGCCTGCTTCTCTCTGCCTATGTCTCTGCCTCTCTGTCTTTAATGAATAAATAAATAAAATCTTTTTTAAAATAATAATTACAAGGAGAAAGGAATGGCTGCGACAGTAGAGAGGCCTCGCAGTCACCACCTTAATGAAGAGATCAAAATGCACATCATAGGTACTGGGGCAAATCAGAATTATGCTCCAGCTGGATAGGATACTATTAGTAGAATGCAGCATCGTTCTAGAACATTCCTGCGAAAGAACATACCTGGAACCTAATTGTGAGTACACATTAGGGAAATGAAAAACATTCTGCAAAAATAACTGACCAATAATCTTTAGAGGTGTCAAGGTCATGAATAATAAAGGAAAGGCTAAGGATTTATTCTAGACTGAAGGAGGAGACTTAGAAGATGTGACAGTGAAATGGAACACATAATCCTAAACTGGTTGCTTGTGCTGTAAAAGGCAGCTAGCAAAACCTGAAAACTTTAATAATAGTTTAATATATATTGCTCTGTCATAGCAATAATGTGCCAGTTAAATTTCCTGTTTTTTGAGAGCTGTATTATGGTTATGTAGGAGATTGTCCTGTTTAGAAAACATACACAAGTATTTTGGGGGTGATGGGACATCGGGTTGGCAGCTCATTCTTAACTGGTTTAAAGAAAATTCTCTGTTCTATACTCTCCACTGTTCAGTAACTCTCTAATTATTTCTAGGTAAAAAAATTTTAGCTTTATATCAGGCAAGTTGTCAAGAAAAAAAGACCAAACAGATGAATCATTCCAGAAGTAGGACTAGCATTGGGCTGTGTAATCACTTAAAAGAGCTGCCCTACGTATTTCCTCTGAAAGGGAAGGACCTCACAATAGAATTCCAGTGTCATGCAATAATTTCATATCTCAGTCATCCTGGAGAGAGCTGGTGGAGATACCTGATTTCATAGTTGTGTGGAGTGCTCCTTTGTCTTTCTCTCACCTCCCTTTTCCTATATGATCTGCAGGTAATCCACGACTTCTTATTCTCCTTGAAAGAAAGCCCTGAAAAGTTTCAGATTGAAGCCAACTTTCCCCGGCGGGTGCTGCCTTGCATCCCTTCAGAGGAGTGGCCCAACCCCCCCACACTTCAGGAGGCCGGACTCAGCCACACAGAAGTTCTCTTTGTTCAGGACCTGACAGATGAATGACATTTTTTTTTCCCTCTCCCCTCCTACCCTAATCCCTAAAAGAAATGGAAAAACAAAACAAGAGAGAGAAATTCATATTATTATTATTATAATACAATATTTTTTTTAAAAGACTGCTGCATCCTAAGGAAGGATCAGAAACCATGCTGCCTAAAAGAGTCACCACCTGTGTGTGTGCATGAAGGTCAGCAGTGAACTTTCCCACTGGCAAGCCCACCCTTCCCTACTGCCTCTGCACCACGCACCTTCCAACGAAATGAGACTCTTCAATCCAGTTCTTGTCCCAACTGGGGAAGGGGAAATTCCCACTAGTTCTCATTCATTCTTGCTTTTATGGAAAATAAAAGTGGAAAAAACATCGACCAGCTACTACTGCAGCATCTCCTGAGGACTTGCTTCTCCCACCACCAGAGAAGAGGGAAGAGAAGGCACAGAACAGAGATGTTCCTTGAACTTCCCACAATTTATGAATAACTTCTAAACATTTTTTGTTGCTTTGTAATGACCAAAGGAATGAGGCTGACATAGGTGTTCTTAACTTTTATTTGATAAAAAGCCAATTCTTAAGCCCATGAGTTCATGCCCTGGGCTCCTTAGCCCATAAGAGTGTAATAAAGGTGACCTGGGCTGGTTTGTGCTTATTTTTGCCATTGTCCCTCTCACATTCCTAGAGAGGTTCTTTTTGGTCCAACTCTTGCTGTCCTTTCTTAGCATCTATTGTGCCTCGCTTGAAGTATTGGGAGGAAATCTGGGTTCGTTGCCCCACAAAGTCTCTGTACAGATATCCCCATATATGCAGTGTGAACTCTGTGTATACTCATTATACACATAACTGTAGTTGTCCCTTGGAATCTGTACTAGATGGTTATTATGCAATTTGAACCAAAGGATAGCAGCTCTTCATTCCTCTTCTGATTTGTGTGTGCTCTTCCTGCCCATCCCTGAGTATTCCTGAATTGCCAATCTTGGTGCCTTCCCAAAGGACTAGCAGGGTCAATGGTAGAACCAGCAGAGCCCCATGATGGTGCCCTGCCTGTCTCAGTGGGAGGGTGGTGGTGGTGGTGGTTCAAGGATAGAACTAGAAACCTTGAAGGGAGCCAAGACAGAACTCCAGGTGTGTGTAAACTGTTGGAAGGTACAGTTAGTTTCTGATATAGCCACCTGCTGGAAGCAGTTTTTAATACTCTCCCTCTATTGCTGTGTTGAGGTAATAGGGGTTTTTAAACCTCAGGATGGATGTCTCTTCTTTGGTTGAGTTTATGGTAACGGGTACATGGGTCATGCCATGTATTATTAACAGATGTCAGCGTGAGCTGGCAAATATTCCAAAGTGTTCTATAGCTAGACTGGTGCAGACTTGTAACACAGCAATCTACTGAAGTAACTAGAGCCTAGCATGCTTTGAGGCCAGGGCCCATATCAAGATAAAACATAACTTGGTAGATTTGCAGTCTCCAAAGGCTTTCTCTCTTGCTTACCTAAAAATCTAAGGGCAACTCTTTTAGGTAGCACTGATGTATGTGACTTCTCCTCTGCATCCCACAGTGGTTGGGGTAAACATGGGTAAGGGACGGGATAAGGAACCTCACAAGGCACCACCTAGGGAGCCTGGGAATTACCCAGTGGTCTTGGCACAGATGTCTAAAACACCATCTCTAAGAAAATTTAATTTAGTTCTGCTCCTGGCTGCCTATTATTCCGTTTTGTTTACTGCTGCCTCAAGGCCAGATGAGTGGGAAGTCACTGTTGGCATTGAAAGGTATCTGGAATGAATACCAGGATAAAGCATATTCTCTATTCAGCCTTATGTGAAGTCTGCTTCCTGCTTACAACCATGCAAAGAGGAATTTTTCCACATAACTCCGAGTCTCCCTCCCTGTCAAACTCCTAGCTGTTTCCCTAGCAGTACACAGAAGGGCAGGATATTAAGGGCCTTCTCTAGGTTGGGTATTGTTTTGGGTGTTTTGCCCACACCTCTTTGGGAAGTTGTAAAACTTTTTCCTTAATTCAGTCTGCATCTTATTCTACAACATGCACTTTATGTCTCTTGGCCTTTCAATACTTGTTCAGTGAAGGAGGTCAGATGCCAGACTATTAAGAAAAAGTGTATGTTGGTAGAGTTCTTGGGATGGCTTACCCATTTACTTTAGGTTTCAGGAAGTTTTATCTGAAGCACATGTTCCTTCCTAGTCCATGTTGAAACAAGCGTGCTTTGTTCAGACCCCATTCCTCATCGTAGGGCTGCTGCATAGGTGTCATCTCCCTTCCTCCTCCATGAAGGATGAACATTTTGTCACTTAAAGCCAGTACAATCTGTTACTCCCAAGGACCTCGGGACTCAGTGGGACCTGCAAGGGAGAAAATACTGAGAAGCTGATGATCTGCAAGGATTCACTCATTTCCACATCACCTCTGGGTTATTTCAGCTGTTTATCAAACAGCAAGCCATCAACCTAACAAAAACACTTGTTTCAAGTTGTGTTCTGCAGTCCCAAAACTGACATTGTAGATTCAACTGAATAACATGGGAAATGACCAAACAAAGACACCCAGTTGGAGTCCGTTGAATTTCTGCAGTTAGTGGGGGCATTTCTGGTCTTTTCTTCCACTTCTGCAGAATTTCCTGCAGCAAATACTTTTTTGTGCTTGTTTGCCTCCACTATGATGTTTGGATAAAAAATGACCAGAGAATATCTCTTAAAAAATAATAAAATAAGGAACCTAGAATCTTCAACTGAGCAGTCATTATGAAAATTGCTAATGGTGCCAAGGCCAAGGAAAGAGTCAGAAAATGACTGTGGGAAAGAGTGATAACCCCCAGAATGCAAAATCAGGAGTATTACCTGGTGCTTGAACAAGGAGCTCCACTTTGCAACTGGTTTTTTTTTTTAGGACTTGTGAGGAACGCAGCAACAGGAAATCCATCCACAAAAGATGCAGTGTCCCAACTTGTACTGCGCCTGAATAGTTACATGATAATTTACTGAAGAAATCTAGTGTACTTAAAATTTTTTTCATAAAAGTTTACATTGTATTGTAGGTTAACATTAAATGTTTTATAACAAAAGTCTCCTAAGAAATTGTGGGTCTTTCTGTTGAGGAGAGATGTGGTAGGTATTTTCCTGTGTGTGAAGGAAAGTTTGGGAAACATGAGGATGGGAACAGGGTATTGCATCGCTGAGAAGCAAGGAAGAATCAAAGATGAGCAAGGAGTTAAAATTGTGTATTTCAGTGAAAAGAGACAACATAGTAGACAGATCCAAGTTCAAGTTTGGGCTTATCTGTCCTCAGGCAAGTTCTTTAGTTTCTCCAGCTGTAAAGTATACACCATCTGTCTCAGGATTGGTTTATAGGTTAAATCAAATGTATATGAAGAGCCCAAAACAAGTGTCATTGTTTCCTTTCTCCTTGGTAGTGTGTTTTGAAGGAATATTTTCTTGGAGTTGTAACTGTCCGTTTGATAAGGGATGCCATGTCTCCTGCTAGAACAGACCTATGTCCTTGTGAATGAGTGCCTAAAGAAGAATCACCTTTGATCTAATGAAGTCTGGACTATTGGAGCTCCCCTCCTAAGGTATTTTTACTTGTTTATTGTTTTTGGTTTTTTAAATATTTATTTATTCATGAGAGACAGCGGCAGAGACACAGGCCGAGAGAGAAGCAGGCTCCTTGCAGGGAGTCCGACATGGGACTCAATCCCGGGACTCCAGGATCATGCCCTGGGCCAAAGGCAGGTGCCAAGCCACTAAGCCACCCAGGCGTCCTTGTTTTTTGTTTATTTCTTTTTTTTTTTTTTTTTAACTTATGATAGTCACAGAGAGAGAGAGAGAGGCAGAGACACAGGCAGAGGGAGAAGCAGGCTCCATACACCGGGAGCCCGATGTGGGATTTGATCCCGGGTCTCCAGGATCGCGCCCCGGGCCAAAGACAGGCGCCAAACCGCTGCGCCACCCAGGGATCCCTTGTTTTTTGTTTCTAAGAGGAAATGTGGGCAGCCCCAGTGGTGCAGCGGTTTAGCACCGCCTGCAGCCCAGGGTGTGATCCTCAAACTCCCAGATTTCTAACCCTGGTAAACTGAAACCTGATATTCTCTTGAAGATACCACTTCAGGAAACCCTTAAGCAGATAACTTCATTTTCCCTTGAGTCTTGGAACCAGGGAATGCATCTGTGTTTCTCTTTTGCCACTCTGATGCCCTGTCTTCTAAGACAATGCCCCTGAAGCATATGCCATCTCCTTGGACTACTTTATTCTCTTCTAGTTGCTACCAGACAATATTTCCCCAGATGTAGGCAATTGATACTTCTCCCTCCACCAGCTACCTAGGTAACTCAACGTCTACATATGTGGATTTCTTAAAATTCTGGTTCTGGTGCTCCTGATTTGACTTGTGTAGCTGCTGAATGTAGTGGAAAGAGGCCTTGAGTCAAATCTGAATTTGAAACTGCCCCTTGGTGAGTGATCTAGGGTGTTTCCTCATCTATAAACAATGGCAGTGCATCCTTGCAAAGTTCAGGTGCTCTTTCAGTGGGCTGCTCTCTCTGAAGTGTCTGGTGGTGGGTAGATGGATGCTTGGTGAATATTTGCTTTCTTTGCTCCTCTCCCTCCCAGCAGTGCCGTGCTTTGAGTATAGCCTTCACTATGAACTGCTTCACCCTCCAGACCTTAGAACCAAACCCTTGCTGACCACAGCCTTTAGTGCTCCAGTTCCACGCTCCCCTCAAGGCCTTTCTGTCCTCACTACTCCTCCCAGTTCTCTTTACTAAAATTCTGTTGGCTTCATGCTCCTCTCCACTACAACCCAGAGCTGTCACAATTCCCAGAGTTAAAGTGAACCATTTGATTTCTCTCTTGTTCTTTATGTTGCAGAATCCTGGCATATATTGCAGCAAAATAAGGAGCCCAGATGTCAGTGCCCACTTTTGTGACCCAGCTCTAGGGAGCCCCTGTGCATTTCTACATAGGCACTGCTCTGTTGTGTCCCCTTTCTCAAATCCAAGCCCACCTGCATCCTCCTCACTCTCAACACATTACAGCCTACTTCCTGAGGAATTTGAGATCTTGTCACAGAACTTCATCCTCTTCCTTTTTCACTTCAAAATTGTTCAGTGATGTTACCTGCTTCTTCTTTCCCTTCTGTCTTGTGGGTGTCTTTTCTTTTAAAGGAGATATAATTGACACACGGTAAAATGCTCGAATCTTAGAGTTTTGTAACACTTAACCTTATGCATACTTACACCAAAGACCAGATGCTCAGTATGTTTAATTATCCCAGAAAGTTACCTTGTATGTCTTCCCAGACTAAATCTCCTCAGAGAAAACCAGTATTCTGGCTGCTTTTACCGTAGAAGTTTTGCTTGTTCTTAAACTTCGTATGAATGGACTCACTGTGTGTGTGTGTGTGTGTGTGTGTGTGTGTGTGTGTGTGTGTGTGAGAGAGAGAGAGAGAGATTTTATAAATTGTTTTTGTTTTTTTAGAGAGAGTGCATGAGTTGGGGTGGTGAGAGGAAGGAAGGGAAGATCGAGAGGGAGAGAAAAAAATTATAAGCTGGCCTCCATGCCCAGCTAACCTTGAGATCATGACCTGAGCTGAAATGAAGAATCAGATGCTTAACCCACTGAGGCACCCAGGCACTCCTGTTTTTGTTTTCTTTTGTTTTTAATTAACCTATATACCCCACATAGGGCTCAAACAACCCCGAGATCAAGAGTCACCTGCTCCTCTGACTAAGCCAGCCAGCCATAGATTGTTTATTCAGGTATTCCTATTCATGATAGGAAACTTTAGGAAGTGCAAAGAATAAAAAAAACTAAAAACACATTGTCCAGAGGTATCTCTTGTTAATATTCCATTGTATGTCCTTCCTAGACTTTGCACATAAAAACTTTGTTTTCTACAAAAATAGGATGGCATTGTAAATATTGTATTGTCTCAGTTTCACATCTTCTATATTTTTTTAAATGACTATGCAGCATTTCACTGAATGAATGTACCATAAACTGACCAAAATCCTCTTTTGACATTTTAGGTTATTCCTTTTTTTTTTTCCTTCAAAGTACAAATTGACAAATATCCCTGTAGTGCTAAAAGTACACATCCATGCTTGTTTTCTCAGGGGAAAAGAAATCCCTTCTAGAAGTAAAGTTACTGAGTCACAAAAGGATGGAAATTTTACTTTTTAAAATGATTATGTGATTTCCAAATTATAGTCCAGAAAAGTGACTACAATTTACATTCCTTCTAGCAGTGTGTGCTCAGTCTCCCATTTGTGTCATTGCCAGAAACTTTCCTAACAACTATCCCCTTTTCAATTGCTTGATTCTCTTCATGTTTTAATCTCTTGAATCTAAAAAGTCAAGCAAAACCTTTAACCTTAACCTTACCCACAAGTTACCATTCTATCTGCTTTCCTGCCAAGATGGCTTGCACCAGCCTCCACTTCTTTCTTAACCTCCTGTTGATTGAACTTCCATCCACTAACTATCTCTTATGGTGAACTGTCATCTAATTACAGTGTTCATTGGTCTATTACAAGATCTTTGTAAATGTACAGAGCTAAGTGTCCCCTTGTTTCTGGCCCACAGATTGGGGGTCAGATTATGTGAATTTTATTCCGAGGGCCATTGAGGGGCTTTAAGCAAGGGTGATACATTAGATTTGGGTTTTAGACAGCTAATTCTGTCACTGCAGGGAGACTGAATGGGAAGGGGGGCAGGGATAAGAAGTGATAAGATGGAGTCTTGGATGAGGAATGGTTTGGGGATGGTGGGGCATTAATGATGGAAATGAGAACTATTTAGAAAGCACAATGATCAGGGAGGACCTGGAGGCTGATAAGACTTGGAGGGTGATGGACTGAGAAATTGAGGATTTCCAGGTTTCTGACAGCTGTATTTAGGAACGGTCACTGGTGCTATTTCAGTGGAGTACAGACAGTATCAGAAGGCTGAAGTAATGAGTGGGAGATAAAGTGGAAAGATGGAATGTAGGCAGCTCTCAGAAAATTTTTCAGTGGAAGGTATTAGAGAAAATAGAACAATCCAGAAAGGTATGAATGAGGAAAGGTTATTTGTTTTAAGTTGGGAGGGACTCCATTATGTGTAAATGTTAAAAGCTATGAGAGAAAAAGGTTGAAGATACACAGAGAAAGATGTACCTAGGGTGGTGGAAGGGGTTGGCCTCAGGAGGAAGGAGGGAGCAGAAGTTGGTGTACTTGTAAATTTGAAGGCAGAAGTTGAGTGTCCGCATGTGATGGTATGTTCTGTCAGGTTGTGGGGGATGATGGGGTCAGAGGTCTAAGACTGACATAGATTTGAATTAGCCATTTAAGAGAGCAGGCCAGGGGATCCCTGGGTGGCTCAGCGGTTTAGCGCCTGCCTTTAGCCCAGGGCACGATCCTGGAGTCCCGGGATCGAGTCCCACTTCGAGCTCCAGCCACGGAGCCTGTTTCTCTCTCTGCCTGTGTTTCTGCCTCTCTCTCTCTCTCTATGTCTATCATGAATGAATAAATAAATAAAATCTTAAAAAAAATAAAAAAAAAGAGCAGACCAGAGTATAGAAAGACCTAAGTGGATTTCTGGAAAAACTGAAAGCCCAGGTAAGATTGAAACCAGAATACATGGTGAGAGTAGACCTGAAAAGCCAGGCACTGTCACCAGTCTATTTTCTTCCTGCTGCTAATTTTCTTTATGAAAACAGAGATCACATGTGGGTATTCAGAAGCTCTCAGCACCCCCTTCACCCCAGGAGAAAGTCCAGCTCTCAGCTTGGAAGTTGGGGACTTCAGCAGAGCCCTTTCAGAACTTTATAGCTTTTTTTTTTTTTTTTTTTTTTTTTTTTGCTCTTCTACATAGTCACACTAACTAACCATACAGATCTCTTGATTGTTCCCTAAACACACGACACCATGCACTTCCTGCCTATAGACTAACACAATTGACAAGAGAAATTATTTAAAAGATATGCAATCAGTTTCTCAAACTCCTCTCTGATTGCCAGGAAAGCAATGCCTAGACCACGTGATTCTGGTTTTCTGGAATCCTATAAGACTGGCTTATAACACAGGTACT